TATACATGTTCATTTGTGCTGCATATATTTTCAAGTATGAAATAAAGCACATGCAGGCACAGATACTTCCTAGACACAACCAAACACCTCATGAGATTGGTCTACTGGGTTTGAGGGCTTAGGGCCATAGTCTTGTGGGGAAGCCCAGTCAATTTGCATAATATAGTCCCTAAAGACAACGTTCTACATCCTAGTTTGGTGAGTAGTGTCTGGGGTCTTAAAAGCTTATGAGCAGCCATCTAAGATTCAACTATTGGTTTCTACTCGTGAGCTAAAGAGATAGAAGGAAACCAAAGACTCGAAAAAGAAACTAGCCTACAGAACCAATAGCCTACAAGAACAATGACATCACTTACCTTGAGACCAGAAGAACTAGATGGTGCCTGGCTACTACTACCAACCATTTGGACCAGGAACTCAACAGATGCTCCCAGATAGAATGGGACAAAATTGTCGAACAAAATTGAAATTCCTAAAAAAGTCTAGACTTACTGGATGGGAAAAGACTAGATGAACCCCAGGGACTATCACTCTGAGATACTCTTTAAACTTGGAACTCAAACCACTCCCAGAGATCACTTTTCAGCCAAATGACAGATTAAGTACTTACTGCTCAAAATAATCTTCTAGATGAAACCAAATGGTTAACAGTCACCCTAGACCAAAGATGAGAAAGCATGGAGTAACAGGGAAACTAGATTAATGGAAAGAGAACAACCAAAATGAATATAACAAGAATGCTGATATATTGTGAAAAATGTAACCAATGTCACTGAACAATATATATACAAATTGTTAAATAACAACCTAATTTCCTGGGTAAACTCTCGCAATAAATATTAGAAGAAAAGAAAGTGTAGGAAATGATTATCTTAGCCAAGATGCCTTTAACAGAGAGATCAGCTTTGATGTCAAACTAGAGAAATGCACGTGGCCCTAGAGAAGTTTGATTTTAAAGATTTGAATAAATATTTCATCACTATATGTATATATATATTTTAATAATAACAATCATTTCCTGTGATGGTGAGACCGAGGATATGGGGAGAGGACTCCCTGAAAGGCATGTCATAATTTCCATATAGTATATCTACTTTAAAAACCCTATTAGCTATTATCACTTTAAATTTGGAAACAGAAAAGAAAATTGTAATGAAAATAATAGAAAATAGAGCCCTACGAAATCTTGTTTCGTGTGTTACACAGAAGATAAACTGTCTGCTGTCCATGACTATTTCCCAT